GTTAGAAGTGGAGTTAAGGAGTCCAAAACTATGAACACTTTGAAGACTCCTGATACATATTAGTAGAGTATTTTCCAGAAATTTGTACTTCCGTCAGTTAGGGATGGGAGTAACTTACGTTACCACATCCCCACCAGCTCTGTGAGTCATCCTTTTAAAATCTTCCCTTTTCTGGCCATTTCTCTTAGCCTGGATAATCCTTTCAATCTCAGCTCAAGGGTTATTTCCGCTGAGAAATAGCCCATAATCCCCTGTATGGGTTCAGAGTTTTGGGTTAAGTCAAGGGTTCTCTAAACTAAGACCTTTTTATATCACCTTTCACTTTTCTGAAATGAAATTCATAGATGATATAACCTCACTACATGCATTAGATAAAAATATATAAAGTTGTTAAGTTTACAATTTAGGAGAAAAATAATTTTAAAATATATTTATTTCAGTATGTTAAAAGCCTTGGCTCCCTGAATTACTGTGAATGCCACAGGACAAACACAGGCTGACATGGCTGTGTAGGTTGGTGACAAATTTTCTGAAATGGTGACTAACTCTTGGTCCCTAGCCACTAACTGCCAAAAGTGCCCTGGTCACCATTGTGCTAATAATTAAAACAAAACAAAAAAATGCCTTCACAGATTTCCAAAGTGCCTAATTTTGATATTTATTGAGAACTATTGTGTTAAGTAATAATACAGTACCCTGCACTTTCCAAACATGACATTCATGCTTTAAAAAACAAAAACAAAAGCGTGCTTGCTTGTTGTAAGCTCCTTGTGAGCGGTGATTCTCTCACAGTGCTGTCACCAGGACAGGCCCGGGCATTACCAATGCCTTGATAATGTTTATTGAGGAGATGAATTAATATTGGGTTGTCGGAAAAGTCATGACGCATTTTTGCAATGAAAAACACAGAAAAAATATGTCATGACTCTTCCAAACCAATATTTGGATGGCTAGATCTTCCAAAACAATTCTATGTGACGTAGTAGCATGGATCTCCATGGACTAATTCCTGATTTTGGGGTGAAACCTCTAGTGTGAGGAACAATAGCTGTTCTTTAGTCCACATTTTCTATTTTTAGGCATTTTGCTACAGCATGCACACTTGTTTATTTGCTTCAACAATGTCTTGAGCTAGGCTTAAATGTAGTAACTTGTTAAAGTTGTTAAGGGAGGAGGTTTGGGACAAAGTTGGGAATTGAACCCAGGTCTATATGACTCCATAGACTGTGTTCGTGGTCACTACATTATAAGACAGACTACTGATGAAAACAAATGCTCTTTAGTATCTGAAAAACAACTTTCTTTTGCTCCTCACTTTCTAAGAGTTTTGTTTCTAATAAATAGGAATGCTAGCAAACTTCCTGACACCTCTGGAGATACATAGTGTATCTTATAGGATCTGTTGATGAACTTTATTTGTAATTTGTCATTTTAAACAATCATTGCATTACTCTTATTCTCATATTTCATTGGGTATATAAGCCTAACAATGGACTGAAGTCACTCCTCTAGAACTGTGTTTAGGAGTTTTGTATCTGTATTAATAGGTGAGATCAATTGATGGCTTTCATTTGTATGCTCTATGTTGGGATATGGTAAGGTGGTTCTGAGAAAAATTAGTTGGGGATTGTTCCATGTTTGAGGGTGCCTTAGAAGAGATTATATATAGGAATTACCTGTTTCTTAGAAGTTTACAATAGCTTACCAGGTAGAACGTCTTCTGGGAGGTTTTTTGTTTTTTGTTT